TTTTTATTAGAGACAGGGTTTCACCATGTTGGCCAGGCTGGTCTCGAACTTCTGACCGCAGGCTATCCACTCGCCTTGGCTTCCCAAAGTGCTGGGATTATAGGCGTGAGTCACTGTGCAAGGCACATTTCTAAGCACTGTGTGGAAGGTGCTTTGTGTTGACCTCTTTGAGATCTACTTATTCTCAATTTCTCAGTCTGTGGGATGCAATCAGAAAATATGTATTGCTCAGAAGCAGTTGCAATTTCTGTTTTGGTTTTCTTGTCTTAATGGCAGAGGTGGTCAAAATTAGTTTTCCAGATTATTCAAATTGACCATTCTTACTACCAAAGACTGCAAACTTCATTCTTTACTTTTTTTTATTCTGAAGTTAGTACATTCTGGTGCAAGATGTGGTCTCATACTTACTATGGTTGTGCTCTTGTTTTTTTCTGGTAGCTGTATTTTTGAGATTCCTTGATTTACGTTAAAAGTACAAACTCAAGGCAGAAATGAGAAGTATTGGAATAAAATTAGTTATTTTATATTTCTATATAACAGTCCTCAAAGTTAAAAATATTTAGGGTGCATAAAATGAATTCAGTTTGTAAGTATCTAAGTCACTTGTATGTTTGATGGGAAAATGACAGGTTGAAAGTTTGAGAACAAATGTTACATTCACTTTTAAACAACATTACCTTTGGCAAGTCACCTTAATTTTTCAGCTTATTTCTCCTTATTTAGTGGGGTAGTTTACATATTTAGTGGGGTAGTTTACAGAATGCTTTTTTGTTTATTCAGTTGGCAATTTGAAAAATTTAAAGTGATAATTCTAGAGACATAAATTTTTTTGTTCTTTAGACTATTTTTCATTTTTACTGAGTGGGCACAGACAGATGTTTTTAATAATTAAACATATGGCTGTTTTATGCACTTTTTTTTTTTTTTTAAAGAAATCTGTCTCTTCCATATAGTGTAATTAATGAGATTTTAGCCAGAAGAATTTGAACTCTATTTTCTAGGTGAATTGATGATAAAATTTCTTTTGGTTGCAATATATTTATCAGTGCTGCCTTTGGATTAGCAACATATGTTCACTGATCTTGTGTCGGGGGAAAGGCCTTCCTATAATAACAGAGTGATAGCTTAATTCAAAATTTGCATTTGTAGCCTGGGCTCAGGCCTGTAATCCCAGCTACACGGGAGGCCAAGGCAGGAGAATCACTTGATCCTGGGAGGCAGATCAGTGAGCCCAGATCAGGATGCACCATCGCACTCCAGCCTGGGTGACAAGAACAAAACTCTTGTCCCCCCCCCAAAAAAAAAAAAAAAATCTTGCATTTGTAAAAATTTGAAGAGTTAGTTGAGGAGGAAGAAAACAATATTCCTGGAGAGTTTAGTTATGGATATTTATTAAATAAATGTTTTACATTTTGTTTACAATATGGTAAGTGATCAGAGATCCTAGATGCTGGTTTTTAAATATTGATATGTTTCACTTAAAAATTTTTACTTTAACTGAAAATTGGCTGAAACCTTTTACTTTGGCTGAAACTTTATGTAAAAAAGTCAGAGTAACATGGATATTTTTGAAAAATTGATGGTAATGTATTATGTGGGTTAATTTTCTATAATCTCTAATCAAAAGTCAAGTGGGTTTTTTTTAGGTGGTTCTATGTGGACACATCCTAATTTGATAGCTAATGAGCACTATTGTGGAAAAGAGCACAAATTAAACAGTATAAATTAGACATGCTCAGTGTGTAACTTGTTAGCATTTTTTTTTTTTACCAATACCTGTGTGCGATCTACCAGTGGAAAAAGGAAACTCATACTTTTGTGTAATTTACAAGCAAAAATATTCCATTTGAAAGAGTAGGAAAATAGAATAACTCATTTTATGATTTTCTCAGATTTTGGCTAAAACCAGAACTTTGTTTAAAAACGTAATCCAAGACCTTTTCCAACAATTCCTTCTATGATGACAAGAGCTTGCATGGTATGGTTGCCTAGGGCCGCTGTTAAAATTAACCCCTTCAAGGAGGGGAATCAGTGATCATCTCCTCTGGGAGGCTGCTCAAAGTTTGGGTTGGATAAATACATAGTTACATGTTATTCAAAACTTACTACACTCCAGCCTGAGTGACAAGAACTAGAACCTGTCTCAAAGAAAAAACAAAAAAACAAAATTCAGTGTTTATGCATAAGATGTATCCTTATAATTCTTGCTCTGAGATATGCAGAAACTGACCACTGGTTAAGGCAATAAAAAATTAAATTTACAGGCATTTTTCTAAGCAGAATATGAATAGTGAAAAACACCGTTTTTTGTTTTTTTTTTTTGATGTGGAGTCTCGCTCTGTCGCCCAGGCTGGAGTGCAACAATGGTGAGATCTCGGCTTACTGCAGCCTCTACCTCCCGTGTTCAAGCGATTCTCCTGCCTCAGCCTCCCGAGTAGCTGGGACTACAGGAACCTGCTGCCACACCTGGCTAATTTTTGTATTTTTAGTAGAGACAGGGTTTCACCATATTGACGAGGCTGGTCTTGAACGTTCAGCCTTACCTTGTGATCTGCCTGCCTTGGCCTCCCAAAGTGCTGGGATTACAGGCGTGAGCCACTGTGGCCTGCGAAAAACACTCTTAGCAGTTACTATGCACAGGAGGCTTTCAATGCTTCAAGATGGTTTCCCAACTCAAAATAGGAAGAATAGACATTTCTGAATAGATGGCAGGGCTTGATAAAGATTAACACTTCAGGGGAATTGGGGAGCTCTGGAAAGCTTTGGGTAGTATATAAATCAACAATGCAAATGGTTTTAGATTTTTTCAAAAAACTTAAATATTTTATAACCATGGCTTTTTATTAGGAATTATAACTTCAATTCATAATTCTTTTGCTGACTTTAGTGTTTATCATTTCAGAACCACTCACGAATTCTTGTTTGGTGCTCTTGCTGAACTGGTTGATAATGCAAGGTATGTAGTCTTCAGGCATACAATCTGTGCTTGAAGTGGAAACATTTTAGGTAGCTGTGACCTTTGCTCTCTGAAAATTTTGAGAGGAAGACATTTCTTTAGAATGTAGACATTCTGTAACTCCCAAGAGGCCTCTTACTAAAAAAAATTTTTAATAGTACATTATTTGATAACTTCCACTCTTTTACTTAAATTCGCTAATTGTTCTTTGTGTTCTAGCCTAAAAATGTGAATTATCACCTCCAAAACCATTTCCCTTGTGTATTAGAGCAAGATAATTGTAGCAAAATGCAGGGAATTAAGGTAGACACTTAGGAATCATATTAATGGGACAGGCAAGCTCTGATTTAATTTGTGCTACCAGGATAGTACACCATCTAATGTCTTTAAAACTATGCCAAAGTTCTGTGTCTTAGCAAATTGTATATTGTCAGATAAGTAAATGATCATAGTATCTTTCATTGTTAGCAGCTGTGCTTGGAAGGAATCATTGGTCAGCACTGTCTTCTACTGAGTTCTTAGTGATAGAAACATACAAATGTTACTGTGTAAAACTGAATGGAAATTTGGGTTGGTTCTGAGACAAAAATCCAAGTCCAGATCAAGATTCTGTTTATAATTAGGAAAATATTGTCTCAGTCTTACTCTTGTATGCAAACATAAAATTCAGACACATCATTTACTGATCAGGTTTTGATGACTAATGAAGGAAGAAGATTAAAATTGACAGCAAAAGTACTTTCAAACAGATCTCCAGTTAATGTGCTTGCTCATAATTTCCTGTTTACCTCTGCCTATACAATAAACTTATTCTTACTACTTTTGTTATTGATATTAGCTGGACTGCTCACGGAAATGTGTTAGTTGTTTAACCAGAAAACTTCCATTTTGTTTCAATCCTGGTTGAGGCATCATTTTTCCATTCAGTTAAAAAATGTTGTAGGTTAATGGAACTGTGTTTGAATTTGGCACTTGTTAATTTAGTGAGACCATGATGTGTGGTGGGAGGCTGTTTTTTGTGTATCATATGGTAAAATAGAGATTCCTGGAAGCATGTGTTCCTACTTGTGTATACATTTTGCCAGTATCTTTCATATTTGAAAATGTTTTAGATCTTTGAGAACAGGTATATGTAGAGCTATGTGGATTTTTTTTGCATGTAAAACCAATAAAATGGTTTTGTTTTCTTTGCCTGTGGTTGGCAGAATTGGTCTAGATTACTTCTGAGCCTTCATGGAAGTCGTAATTGATAACTGAATCTGTATGATTTCAATGGCTAGAGTCTAATGGGGCAGGACTATCTCAACTTCCTTTCAAGGTTAAGGAGGTTAAGGTTATGGGCCTAAGAATCAGTCTGCTGGCTGCAGTGTGTATACCACGAGATGTGATTTTTCACAGGTTTTGTGGGAGATTATTTTCCTTTTTTCTTAAAATCTTGAGAAGAAAAAATGAACAAGTTATTGGAATATCTTTTTATGATTGCAATCATATAAGTGAGAAAAACATATATTTGAATCATTTCTTAGGGTATAAAGGGAAATATTCTTGCTTATCCTATAGATGTTTTTACCAGAAAATTAGGATTAAAAAAAGATCCAGGCCCTGTGTTATGTGATTATCTTCAATAATTTGGGGCTTCAGAAATGTTTTACAGATATATAAAGGAAATTGTGTTGCCAAGAATAAAAGTAAAAAAGAATCCACAGGTATATAGATTTTCTGTATGGCTTCCTGAAAACAGACTCAAAATACTCTGCATTCTACTCAGGTCACTATGCATTTCGATGGTTGATATTTCATATTAATTCACATGATTCTTTTAATTTTGCAGAGATGCTGATGCCACCAGAATAGATATTTATGCAGGTAAGTCAGGCTTCAGTTCTTCTAATGTCTAGTTCATCTTAATGCATTTATTACTGTGCCTAAGAAGAATTGAGTGGGAGATAACTGGATTCTGGAGCCTGGGAAGATGGCATGATTGTTCCAGGTCATAGGTAGAAAAGGGGCAGCCATAGTCAGGTATGGTCAGCTTTGGTCAGACATAGAAACCAATAATGTTGGTTTCAAGAAACTAACACAGGGTATCCAACTCTATGTAAATAGCTACAAGTAGAGTTATGGTACTGATGGAGTAGAATAGTAGAGAGGGTAATGACCACGTTATTTTACTGGTAGGAGTTAGTAGATGAATGAGGTTTGTGTTACCTGCAGCCAAGGAGAGATCTTGTTGGAGGCCACTTTCTTTTGAACCCTTGGTGAGCACTAGTCTCAAATTGCAGAATTGCTGGTATCAGTTGCAGAAAATAGCAGTGACTGGATTGGCTTGAAGTTTGCCAAGTTGTTCTCAAACAGAGGTGTCAGGAAGGCAGGCTGCTTGGCTTGGAATTTACACCTGTCAACATCCTGTTTCATTTTGCTTATTTGGCTCTGCTGTTTTGTAGTAAGATCCTCTTTTTTTTTTCCTAGAGTGAGTGCAACAGTCATTGGCCTTTTAGTTAATTAATTAACAAATTAATTAATTTTAATAGTTTGCTTTCTGTCTGATATTTGTACCGGCACCTTTTTTTTTTTTTTTTGTACCGGCACCTTTTTTAGCCATTTGAACACTAAAAATTTGAAAGCAGAATAGAAGACAGATTTTAAATACAATTTGACTAGTGTAATGTATTTTTTTCTGTCAGACTTTTCTGAAATCTTCTGAAATGTGTGAGGTAATATTTTGAGTAGCATGGACTAGATTCTGAGAAGTCTGCATGTTTATATGGGAATGAAATAGCCCCTCTTCATGGACCCTTTGGATCAACGAGAACAAGCACACAACTAAGTAGTAATTCTCAGAACTACTAATGTCATATAATTATGAAGAATCTGTACCAGATTTAATGAATTTCTCATGTCTGCTGTACTTTGGAGCAAAGAAAACCCTCAGAGCAGTTAAAAGTCAGCTGTACTACTTCAATTCAGAAAGCCTTTTGTTCAAAAGGCTCTGTCAAAGTGGTGAAAATAAGGCTTCTTTTCTTTTTAGAAGAAAGTAACAGGAAAAAGGGGCACACAGGAAAAGAATGTTAGAAGATGGTTACTAAATGCTCATGCCAGATGGAGATACCTTTCCAAGGAAGAACATGTTTCTTACATCTGAGTGTGCTTTCTCAGGAGTGGTAACAGCTATCTTTGGAAAAATAGGTCTCGTTTAATCATTGCACAGATGATAAAGCAGAGAATGGGCCTGTACTCCAAGTGATGTTGAAGGGACAAATCATAATAGTCAAGTCTACTTGGAAGAAGTTTTTAAAAAAAGATTATCTCTGCCCTCTCCTACTACATTTGGTCGGTGAATTTCAGCAAGGAAATTTAGTTGCTGACACTCAGAATGAAATTAGATTACAATAAATGAAAAAGGTCCCAGTGCATCTTTATTCTGTGCTCAGTACAACTCCTGTTGTGCTTTGGGAAAAGTCCAGAGAGGATCAGATTGGGGTCTTTGCTTTAAGAACTTAGTCTTTAATTGGAGAGACAATTAGTGCACTACAGATGATTAGGGAACAATAACTAGATCTTGAGGGAACAGTCAAGACACTTAAGGATTAAATGGTATGATAGAAACACCACAGCATTTTGGGAAAAGACTTGATTTACATCAAGTACCAGGAGATTGGGATTCTTGGCTGAGGGATCTTTAACCTTATACTTTTCTACCTCAAGGGCCTTATTAACACATTGAACAGGAGATATAAATCAGTAGAATCTTTTCTTTTTTCAACAGGAGAAATAAATCAGTGGAATCTTTTTCTTTTTTACCTGAAGGAGTGCAGTATGCTATCTAGGCTTACTGCAACCTCCGTCTCTTGGGCTCAAGTGATCCTCCCACCTCAGCCTCCCAAGTAGCTGGGACTATAGGCACACACCACCATGCCCAGCTAATTTTTGTATGTATATATTTTCACCGTGTTGCCCAGGCTGGTCTCAAATTCCTGAGCTACAGTAATCCGACTGCCTCAGCCTCCCAAAGTGCTGGGCTTACAGGCTGAGCCAACGCGCCTGGCTAGTAATAATCTTAATACTACAAAGTTCTTGTTGTTAGTTCATGGGGGAAAGTATTTTCTTATCTCCACTTCTGAAACTAGATTGATAACTGGACTTGGAAATCTTCCGAAACATCAGATGTAGTTTGAAGTCACCACAAAGTTACATTATAAAGGCTGTTTTTAAACCTAAAAAGGGAAAGAAAGGAGCCAGCCTCTCAAAGTGTAGAGGCGTTCATTTACTGAAAGCATATTATTAGTTGGATTGTTGTTATTGTAGACCATAATATGCCTAAGTAGACTGTTTTTGTTTACTTTCTTGACCTTCTGGGGTAGGCAGTGCCACCTCCTTGGAAAAAAAGATCCTTTTTGTGATGCCAGGGCAATGATTAATACTTGGAAAATGGGAGCAAATGAAACTGCAATTAATACTGTTCAAACAGATTGCAGAGTATGATGAAGAACGTGGATGTCAGGCTGGGTGCAGTGGCTCATGCCTATAATCCCAGCACTTTGGGAGGTCGAGGTGGGCAGATCAAGTCAGGAATTCAAGACCAGCCTGACCAACATGGTGAAACCCTGTCTCTACTAAAAATACAAAAATTAGTCCTGGCATGGTGGTGTGCGCCTGTAGTCCCAGCTACTTGCGAGGCTGAGGCAGGAGAATCGCTTGAACCTGGGAGGTGGAGGTTGCAGTCAGCCGAGATCGAGCCACTGCACTCCAGCCTGGGTGACAGAGAGAGACTCTGTATCAAA